CTCATCAAGAGAAATGTTAACCAAACATCATTTGTTTCTTGCTTTTTTCATGTTTATTTGCAGAAGTTGTTCTGGTGTCTCATTTTTCTTCATGTTTTGTTCGACGATTGTTTATTTTTCTCCTTAAGAAATTGTGTTTAAAAAGAAAAAAAAAGCAACAACTGACTACCTACTGCTTTCCCCTGTTTTAATGTTTTGCTTTATTACATCCGATACATCCGTATCGTGCACGGATCCATGTGATATTTTATGTCAGGATGTTAAAGAACGTGGTGATAAATGAGGTTTAGAGATGCTGGTGGATAAGACACAACTTTATATAAATAATGTATATAAGTGGAAACATTTTATATTTGTGGTGCATATTCACAGTAGCTTGTAAATTGTAAATAGCCTGGACAGTATTAGTTTGGCTAATAAAGTAATTGTAGGTGTTTTTAGATCATCTCTGTTGTTATTTCTTTTTAATGCTTGATTTAGAAATTGTGCTTTTCTCATTTAATAAGTTGCATAATAAAAGCCAAGCTGCATAAACATCCATAAGCACAATGTATGAAAGCAGCACCAATGTGGAACTTTTCTAATGCACCATTTACTGTTTTGTGTCGATATGCTTCAGGTTTGTCTCGTGAAAATCTGCTGAGCTGTGCTGCCCTCATGGAGGGGGCCATCGGCTTAAACACTGTTGCTAACCACTTAAACATTCTCCCTCTCCTGATAATAACATTTTACTTTCTTTGACATTGAATGTGCTACTACTAGTTTACCCGTTTAATTATAGATTCACTAGGATAAATACAATAAAGTTTATCTCTCACCAAACAGAATATTTACTAAGAAACAGAGTGTGTGTGTGTGTGTGTGTGTGTGTGTGTGTGTGTGTGTGTGTGTGTGTGTGTGTGTGTGTGTGAGAGTGTGCGTGTGCGTGTGTGCTCTGTCTTCTCGATCCCCAGTGAGTCGTGGCAAATTGCTGCTTATACTGAGCCAGGAGCCTCTGGAGGTTTCTTCCTGTTAAAAGGGAGTTTTCCTCTCCACTGTCGCTAAATGCTTGCTTAGTATGAGGATTGCTCTAAATGCAATTTGCTGGGTTCCTTATATAGGAAACTTTTTTCTGATTGGCTTAATGATCTGACCTGTATTGGAATGTTTACTATGTGAAGTGCCTTGAGACGACTCTTGTTGTGATTTAGCGCTATATAAATAAACTTTAGATGGATTGAAACATCAACGTTATGTTTTAAATTTATGATTTCTGGGACTTACAGACAATTGTTGGTGCTGCATTTACTTAGGTAAAGTGACCGTCAGAAACGGTAAGTAAAAACCTCTTGAAAGGGTCTGTCTATAAAGAAAAATTCAAACCATTTCAGTTTAATATGTTTAATAGATCTAAAATCATATCTAAACATTTATTTTATGGAACAAAAGATTTAGTAAATTTAAGGATTATTCTGCTGTCCAGTCGTCCCCCCCCCCCCCCCCGGCTAAGTTACACAGGTCCAGAAGGGAGACACACAGACATCTTTCTTCAGCTCCTCCTTGAGGATTCCCTCCAGCAAGTTCTAGTTCTGCCTTGGGATCTCCTCCCAATGGGATATGGCCAGAGAACCTTCAGATCAGGGGTCACCGACCTTTGGTGAAGCTGAGAGCTAATTCATGGATACTGAGCGATACGAGGGGTTACCAGGTTGATACAATACAGATCTTTGAACTGGAAGAGATCAGAGTTAAACTAAACTTCATGTATAATAAAGACCATTTATTGTTTTTAAAGAATGTTGCAGTTTTTCATGAATTTGTGATGAAAAAGATGGCAGCATATTTTGTTTGTTTATTGTAGACTTCTGCTATTTAGAGAAAAGACCTGTTGGCACCTTACATAGCTCTCAGGTGCTCTCACAAGTATGGACTTGTGCATTTTTAACATTAGGCTGTGGTTGGCACTAATGCACTATAAATTAATACCATGTGCTTTTCAGCAAAAATTGTCACAGCTACATATCCTCATCCATATTTTGGTTCTGTTGTATTTTTTTGTGTGTCTCCTTTTTTCTCTTTCACTGCAGGTCTAGAAGCAGATTCTTGTACATCATTCATGGGTTATTTTTGTGAACTTTTTTGCCCACCTCTTCCTTTCCTCTCCATTTAAAACAACCACAAATATTTCTAATAAAGTTTTGGTATCAGGCGTGGCAAAATAGCTGAAGCTATACTGCTCCACCTGCGAGAGTAAAACTGTACGGCTTGTCTTCGGCACTCAGACATCAATTCTGATTGCTTTACAGCTGGACAGGACACGGAAAAATAAGTAGGCAACCTTTCATTATTTATTTTTGCCCAAGATCCCTCTCCTGGCCTCTACAGGCCACCCCACTGAGTTCCATTTAAATCTCGAAACAATAGGTGGCAACACACACTTTAAACCAACAGAAAATTTCTGTATTATAAATATTATTATTCATTCGGTTTTTTTTTCACATAAAAAATATTTAGAGTCCAAGTTCCAGCCCCACTCCACTCCAGTTGGTGGCAGTAATGCACTAAGAAGTGACTTATTAACCTCCACAAAACAGCTCAAAGAAGAAGAACAGGGGGAAATAGGCCCAATCCCAATATTCACACTTCCACATTTGCACCCTTTAATTTTATGATCCCGGCCAGGGGTGCCAGTGTGTAGGGTGTCCCAATTCTCAAGAGCCGAAGTTGATCACATCCCTTTTACATCCTTGATTCACACTTCACCCAAGTCCACATCGAAACTTGGGCAAAGAGTATTACCCACAATCCATAGCTGCGGGAAAATAGGCTCAAGGGCCTTTTCTGAAAATATGTATTTTCACATTAAAGTAGTTCACTTTATGAGGATTAGTTGATGCTCATAATGTGTTAGACAAAGCAACAATTAATGTAAACTTATTTGAAATAATTGTTTGGTTGGTTTATTTTTATAAAGTTGTTAATAAAAGTTTTTTTTCAAAAGTAGCACAGTGACCAGCATCCCGGCATGCGTTTCAGTTGATGATGCAATGCTCCCTGTCCCAATTCAGTAATTATTTGCACACCTTTTGTACCACGCACTCAAAGCCTTACTGTGCACTTCCTCCAAGTGCACTTCACAGAAGACCGCAGGGTGCAGTGCAAGTATTGGAATTGGGCCTCATTCACTAGAACGCAAAAGGAAAGGAAAAACAAACAAAATAAAAATTAAAAATACAGTAACCATTGGTGCCATCCATGCCCCACCTTGGCCACCCCATTTTAAAAGGTCTGGACACGCCACTGGCTGTTACCTTGATCAGTAAGAACATTTATGCTCACAGTTTGTTTTGCCAGCTCTTCAATAAAAAAAATCATATTTATTTTTCCATCATGACTTTGTTCCACGTGGTGGCGCTGTAGGTCCTTCTGCACCAAGTTATTTCTCTAACATGTGACTCATTAGTCATTTTATCAGCAGCTCCCCAGACAAAAAGCGCCTCCTGCCTGGTGCAGTCCATCACAGAGGGGGGTATTTACAAAGCTAGGTGAGAATTCACCAGGAATGCTGAGGAATGAAGCTGGAAACAAGCCGCTTTAATTGGTCCCAGCGCGCGCGCAGCTCACCTGCCTTTAATTGGACTATCGCGACAAGTTGTTGAAGTGACGTCGGCGAAGCTGACTCCTTTCAAAGCAACAAGGATCTTCACGCGAGACTAATTGAGCGTCGCGTAGGACCGCAGCGAGGCAGGGAAGGCGCTGATCAGCATCAGGAGGCCGAGCAGAGGAGACGGGTAGCGGGCGCTGGGCGGGCATCTTAGCCTGATGTGGGTGGATGGATGCAGGGCAGAGGGCTCCAGCGTCTCAGCATGGACATAAAATATTTCATCTGAGCAGAAGAAGCAGGGACTCTGACTTTTTTTGAAAAAAAAAAAACTCTGGAATTGGTTTTTTACTCCCTCCCTCTCTTTCTATCACTCTCTTTGGGGAAGCAAAAGCTGCTCCATCCCTGTACCTGCCACCAGGTATCCGTCTCGTTTTGGCGCGAGTGGTCCCCAGATCTCGGAGACATGGGGTGCACTGTGAGCGCTGAGGATAAGGCTGCAGCCGAGAGGTCAAAGATGATTGACAAAAACCTCCGAGAAGACGGAGAGAAGGCAGCAAGAGAAGTGAAACTGCTTTTGTTAGGTAGGTTCCCTCAGGCTGTGGCAGTAAACTGTTAAATCTTTGTTCATACAAAATGTGTCTTGATATATATTAAAACAAATCCTAAACAAAATGAATAAACTCAAGATGGGGAAATATGCACCAATTCTGATTTTGAGGGACGATGCCGATTTTCTGTTTTTGGTCATCTCTGAACCTGCTGATACCAACTTATTTCCAAATGATTAAGATGATATATTTAAAAACATTTATACTGATGAACTTGAAATTTTAAATGACATAAGTAAAAACTGTCATTTAAACTTTTATTATGAATTATAAAGTTAGGGAAGGGAAGTTAATGGACTGGAAAAATGTCACATTTTTAATTGGTGCTTGGCAGTAGTGTATACTCATAGACTAAACAAAGGATAAAATAATGATTTTATTTTTATTCTTGATTAGCCCTCTAAATAGATCCATCAGCTGATTTTTTATGTGTAAAAACACCCATATAGAGATAATCCTCAAACTATTCAAGATGCAATGAGATAAAGAGAGAATGCCGAAGCTCATGTGTCCAAGAGGCGCTATGAACAGTATTTAACGGTGTTATTAATTGGCCAAAACAAGTGTCCGTATTCTTGGAGATAAAGCCAGATATCGTCATGTCAACGCTGCTCAGCTTCTCGGAGCTCTGAGCTGGCATTTTCCCAGAAAGCTTTATTTCAAAGGGTCTATCAAACATGGAGCTGGACTAAACATTAACAGATACACACCGACAGCTCTTCCACCAGTAGAAAGAACACAACTATTCCCAACTGTTGGCTACACACACACACACACACACACACGCACGCACGCACGCACGCACGCACGCACGCACGCACGCACGCACGCACACACACACACTTTCTCCTACCGCAACTGCTCTTACCCTTTGTATGCCCCTCTTTTTTAAATAGATCTTCCCAAGTAACACTGGAATATACTCTTTGGATGTGTGTGTGTGTGTGTGTGTGTGTGTGTGAGGCCAACATGGACGATGGTAGAGAAAGGCAGATGGGATGCAAGTGTCTCATCTTGCTGAGGCAAGCTGTTTATAAAGACATGGTCAATAGCTGAGTGGTTCTTCAAGTAACAACCAGACAACAACACACACCATACACTAATTAAATGATGGCACAGACTTCTGTGAGGCTCTGCAAAACATTAGGGGCGTAAATCAATATAGTTCAATCGCAATATGATATTTTGATGCAGGGGATTTTGACTTGATGTTTGCTGATATCTCAAATTCAGTCACATTACTATTTTGATATGATTCGATGTAGGATCAAGGGGTAATCTCTGGCTGTCAAAAGGAAAGTCAATGCTGAAGTGAGAAAACTTGCAGTTCCACTCTCATCCGCTAGGGTCTGGTTCCAGAAGGGAGCGAGTTCCCTTTGACACTCATGTTAAAATGCAGAAATAAATAAATATGTTTACAGCTTGGGACAAAAAACATTTGAGGTTTAATGGGTCAAGTTTACAGTCATGACATCTAGGGATGTAAGAAAGTATGGATATGGCGATACATCGTGACATTTTTTTCCTGTGATATTATATCGATAATCAAAAGCCATCTATCTAATTTTTGGACACATTTACATGCAAACATTTGTGTATTTCCTTCTCTTTTGGTGCAATTCAAACACTGACTGCTAGTTGGCAGCAGTGTGCAATGAGTTTTGTTTCCAAAAATTGCAACGAAGCAAAACAACAAATATTCCGGTTCCTAAGAAATGGTGCTCATTTGAAACGGCTTTTGTATCAACTCTGGACTATCTAAACCAGGGTTTTTCTTTGGGAGGTGAGCAGATAGAGGTACTCCTTCTTGTACCTCTTCGACACTTTAAGACATACTCCCTTGTTGACTGATTTCGATTAAAGCGTCATATTGTTCGTTGTTCTTGATTCAGGAGGAGCAATGTGGTGTTTGTCCTGGCTGTGGACCATTGGACCAGCTCTATACCCTTAGGGGGGTCCTGGAGGGTGCATGGTAGTTTGCCCAACCAATCTACATATGTTTTGTGGATTTGGCAAAGGCGTTCGACTGCATCCCTTGGGAGACCCTTTGGGGGATACTTCGGGATAGGGCTGCTCGATTATGGCAAAAATAATAATCACGATTTTTGTGACTGAAATTGAGATCTCGATTATTTAAGACGATTTTTCAATTTATGTTGATTTTATTTGTTGTTATTCAGTCACAAAATTTCTCAGGCCACAATCAGGACAAAAATAAATAAGAAACAAGATGATCACTAAAATAACTCCTGATTCCCAGTATAAAAATACCAATATACTTATAGCTCATAGTCTATGACCCAAGGGCTATAGACCTTGGTTTAACTCATTTAAGTCTAACCAGTACAGACCCAAATACCAATATCTTGCAAATACTGACAGCAAGAATTATACAGTAGCATTTATAACAAATAAATGCAAATAAATTGATGTTCACAAAATGTTGCATAGTATTTATTTAGTCATGTCAAGGTGCTGTAGGAGAGTGCACGAGCACCGTGTCCTCAGAGAGATTAGTTATTATTTATCAGCGTGAGGAACTTATTTCTATCTATTTCTACCTTATTTACAAACTATTTATTTACAGGTCCATCAGTTAATGTAATAATTGTTCCAACCACAGCTGCACCCCCCTCCCCCCAACCCGGTTTCACAGCAATCATGGGCAAGCCGCATGCGCACATTTAGCCATTTTTTGCAGCTCAGGGGTCCGCAGGTATGGTGTGTGTCACTCACTCTGGTTAATCCAACAAGGAGCCGGCTCTGAGAGCCGTTTCTTTAGCGACTGACACGTCACTACATCATTCCCTTTCCTAATGTCCTGAAGAACGGTCCGGAGCGCAGGCGGAGTGTTTAGCTAACCTGCAGGAAATGTCAACGACAGTTATCCAGAAAGTAGCTAAAGGTTACCAGAGATGTTTCTGAGGTGTTCGCTAGGTATTTAAAAAGTCAAGAAGGGGGTCTGAAAAGCTGTTAGAAATAGCGTCAAAATCGCTAAGTTGGCAACACTGTGGGAGGAGCGCTTCATTTGCAACTCAGGGCAGCGCAAGTGGGAGGAGCAAATAATCGGCTTGTTTTGTTTTTATAATCGTTCAAAACTCTGATCGTAATTGGGATTAAAATTCGATTAATTTAGCAGCCCGACTTCGGGAGGATGGGGTACTGGCTCACTAATACTGGCTGTTAGGTCCATATATGACTGGTGCCAGAACTTGATCTGCATTGCCAGCAGTAAGTTGGGCTCATTTCCGGTGAGAGTTGAAGTTTGCCAAGGCTACCCTTTGTAAACGATTCTGTTCATAACGTTTATGGACAGGATTTCTAGGTGCAGCCAAGATGTTGAGGGGATCCATTTTGGTAGCCTGAGGATCGGGTCACTGCTTTTTGCAGATGATGTGGTCCTGTTGGCTTCATCAGAACGTGATTTCTGACTCTCACTGGAGCGATTCGCAGCCGAGTGTGAAGCAGTTGGGATTAGAATCAGCTCCTCTAAATCCAAGACCATGGTCTTGAGTCAGAAAATGGTAGAATGCCTTCTCCAGGTCAGTGATGAGGTCCTGCCCCAAGTGGAGGAGTTAAAGTATCTCGGGGTCTTGTTCACGAGTGAGGGAAAGATGTTGCGCAAGATCGACAGGCGGATTGGTGCTGCATCTGCAGTGATGCGGGTGTTGTACCGATCTGTTGTGGTGAAGAGAGAGCTGAGCCGGAAGGCAAAACTCTCGATTTACCGGTCGATCTACGTTCCTACCCTACAAGTGGCCGAAAATAGTTTTCTCTGCAGGGTGGCTCACCCAGCTGGCACAAGTGGCTGGGGAGAGGGAAGTCTGGGCCTTTCTGCTTAGGCTACTTGCCTCGCGACCCGGCCCTTGATAAACAGCCAGAAATAAATGGACGGATGGCACTTTTCTCCACCAAGACATTTAGCAGTTAAATGTACATTTATTAATTGTTTTAGTCCACATCGATCCACTTTTATAAATCTAATAACATGATTTATCAACCGGAGTAAGATCATTGATTTGATTGAATCTGTCTAGTTTAATCATCATTCAGTCCTTTGAAAATCCTTCATCGGTAATGTGCAGTATTTTAATTTAGAAGAAAAACCATTTACAACTTGCTTAACATGCAGCAGAGATCAAACAGCTCTCCTTCATCCAGATGAAGAGCCTCTCTGACGTTATTCAGTATAACGTAAATATTTCACCATGTGTCTAGAGGAATTAAATCAAACGTATTTTGCTCGTGTGTAAGTGCTTTTGTACGGGACTTTTTCTTGGCTGGATGCAGTGTGTTCTTGCTGATAAAAACCCTTCTCAATCAATCAATTTCCCTCTGGGATTAATAAAGTATTTTTGAATTGAATTGAATGACAACAGAAGTTCTACACATCAGTTCAAGGCCCGCAAGTCAGAAAATGTCAAATAATGACTTCAGGAGTTTTGATAAACCTAAGTAGAAGCCTCTAAAGTCTCACTCATTAAAATATTATTTAATAATCATCTTAAGACATTTAAAAGCTCCTCACCCTTAAAATATGCCTGCATGTAATGCCCGCATAAATATGTATTTTTATGTATTTATTCTGTGTTTTAATATGTCCTGACTGATAGACATATATCTCATCGTATATATAGAAATGTCCCATGACAGATAAATAAAACATGCATGATAGAGTTTGATTTAGGATTACATAAAAAGCTTGGGGCAGATTTATAGAACCAGGATCATAATTTCAGCTTTGTGTTGAATTAACAACTTAAAACGTAGCTGTAGCTTAATATTTAAGAAGAAGAAGAAGAAAATATTATTTCTATAGCGCCTCTCAAGATAAAAATCACGAGGCGCTTCACAAAAACAAAAACAAAAAATAAAAATTGTAAAAATATAAAAAAGCATTTCGAAAATGTTTAAAAATATATCCAAAATGAGCAAGAATAAGCAATTGCGATTTAAAAGAAAAAATGTTAAGA